AGGGTTCTTTTTGGGACGTTCCCCATCAGATGTGCCTGATGCAGCCCTGGCAGGGATCCCAGCACCAATCGCACACTCTTGTACCCTCATACCCTCCCTTGCCGCACAACCATCCGTTCGAATCGTTCTGCACTCTCTACACATCACATAAGCCTCTGAGCTTTTTACACCCGCACTCATTTAACATTCAAACATGTGGTTATAGCTTCTGTGGCTTTAATTACAAGCATAAGGCATTTAAAGTGTATTGAGAGCTGCACATTTTATTTTACATACAATATGATTGCTGGCTGTCAGGCAGGGGAAAGCATTAAACAACTGAAACCAACAAGAAAAATCCTAAGAAATAGTTTTTGCAACTTTCCGTCAATGAAGACTGCTGGGACCAAAAATGCACAAGGTAACAATGGCTCAATTTTCCCATGTCAAATCATTCATCTGTTACCTTATGTGAACATGTGAGAGCAAAAAAAGTAAACAATTCTTTTTCTTTTTTTTAGCTTGATCAATAACTTCAAGCAACAGATTGTCATTATATCTGCCCCCACCGCCAAAAAAATATATTTTTCATCGTACTTAGCTTATTATAAGTGGTGCTGCCATAGCGACCCTCTATCACCAGCTTTATGCTGCCTTCCACAAAACTCTGGCACACTGTCAAATGTCAATTAAAATGAGATATTTCTAAATTCACAGGCATCTACAAGGCACATTTAGTACGACATTGCTGGACAAGCCTGGATGCGTCTACAAATTATGCGATCTAGCTAGTTGGTGACTAGCTAGCTTGTTGGTACTTAGCTCACGAACTGGTGGTTAAAAAGTTAATTTATGTGTCCATCCATCCATTTTCTAATCCGCTTATCCTCACAAGGGTCGCGGGGGGTGCTGGAGCCCATCCCAACTGACTTCGGGCGTAGGCGGGGGACACCCTGAACTGGTTGCCAGCCAATTGTAGGGCACACAGAGACAAACAACCATCCGCACTCACACTCACATCTAGGGACAATTTCGAGTGTCCAATCAGCCTGCCATGCATGTTTTTGGAATGTGGGAGGAAACCGGAGTACCCGGACAAAACCCACGCAGGCATGGGAAGAACATGCAAAGTCCACACAGAAAGGCCGGAGCCGGTATCGAACCCACGACCTCTGCACTGTGAGGTCGATGTGCTCACCACTCGTCCACCGGGCCGCCCTAACGAGTGTGTTACTAAGCAAATTGCTTTGTTTGTTGTTTGGCTGGTCGAGAGTTTATTTGAGATTTTGTTAGCACTTACTTTACTGACTAGTGTTTGGTAGTGAGAGACACACAATGATCCGACACCGACACTAACACTAACTAATGACACAATGACCAACAGGTGTGCCACTGCAGGAGGAGCTCTACAGTGCCACCTGTAGGTCACAAACAGGACCACCCTAACAATCAATGGTGGCATGAAATCTTTGCAACAAATCAAGGGAGTCGCAGAGCATAGCACGCCGTCGACTTTTATCTGGTTCATTTTGTCCTCCCATAGGCTAATGGCCGTGTTATCCCTCCGTGAGTGTGTCACTGCTTAATTACTCTAAAGGGGTATGATGTCTGTCTGCTAGAGTCGGCTGAAGTGAGATCTCTGATTGCTGCTTTTATTTCCTCATCAGGGACACAACGGGGTAAGTCTGGTCCTCCAAATCAGTGGGAGCTGAGGAAATACTTGGTGGCAGCACTTCCTTTGACGTGTTATCGGAGCTTCAGTATTATTGTGACTTGTCAGGTTTAGGGTAATTCTCCTTATCTTTGTTCTTAGTGGTGGTTAGTTGGCCATCCAGGTCTTCACACCAGGATTCATACTTCAGCCATTGGACATAGAGAGTGTTGTTATTGCTGCACCGAGTGAATATGCACATGTGAAACTCAGCTCGCTGCATATCAAGTCAACTTTAAGTCAAGTCAACTTTATTGTCAAATGTGCTGTATGTGCAACATACAGCACACATGAAATTCTTTCCTGTCAACCACAGGAGAGAGAGGAGCCGCTGCGGTACCCGCGCCACCATCAAAAGAAAAGTTAACATAAAATGACAAAATAATACAAGACAACACATAAGACACAGACAATCGTGCAATCTGAATCACTTTCCTGCATACACTTTGTTGTGTGAAGCAGTTATAGAAGAAAGAGGATTGAATCAGTGTCCTTTTCACCAGTGGATCAAAGACGTCATGATGAAAATGTGCACACGTCTGCTACAAGCTAAGTTGAAAGCAACAAGAAGCTGTAGCATCTATTAACGAAAAAGAGATTGGCTCTCTTTTCCTGTGCCATGTAAAGCCGCAACTCCCAGTTCGACATACGCATCGGCGCTCTGCGCTGACGCTCCTTTCTTCTCATCGTCGGCTCCTCAAGTCATGCATCCATCCAGCCGCAGACTGTCCAGTTCCACATACGCATTGGCACTCTGCGCTGACGCTCCTTTCTTCTCATCGTCGGCTCCTCAAGTCATGCATCCATCCAGCCGTAGACTGTCCATCAGCACCGACCTTTCCGCTGAACAAGGCGGGGCTGTGAAAATGCTGCCCATCACAGACGCTAGACACAAGCGCCCGGGGCTGTCCAGCAACGACAGTCAAATGGTGCCGACATTCCTCCAAATCAAAATCAATGCTGGTACACGCGTGCTGCCGAAAAGGCGCAACCACCAAGCACAGATTCTTCTTCTTTGACGAATGTCGTGGCCGAAAATGCTGAAAACAGTCCACATCACACATCACACATTGTTTACAAATGTGAATAGTACTGTGACTATTGTATTTATATTGCACTTAATTGAACTTATTGACCTTATCCATATTTATATTTATATTGCACTTAATTGAACTGTGTTTTCTTTTCTCTTCTTTCTACCCTCAATCTTGCTGCTGAAGGCTGTAAATTTCCCCAGTGTGGGACAAATAAAGGATATCTTATCTTATCTTATCTTATCTTATCTTATCTTATCTTATCTTATCAGGTCCACACGACATAATAACAGCACCATGTGACAAAACAAAAGACAAATACAACAAAAAACAACCAAAAAAAACAACAAAAAAACGCAAGGCTCTTGAAGAGCGCTTACCGACAGCTGCCTACTCGGGTGCCATCAAGACATGTAGCTCAATTTTCTCAATTAAGTGGGCGATGTGAGATGCGCCTGTAGCTCCACTTCTGGCATCCCAGATTCCCATTCTTTAACAATGCCATTGGGGAATTGCGGATCAAACAAACTTTG